AGCTCCCAGCAGGTGTTGCCCATCTGGACGCCGGCCTGGCCGACGTGGACGGAGATGCACTCGCGCTGGGGAGGGGGAGGCAGGGTCAGATCCTGGCACAGCTCTGTTCTGCCTGTCCCAGGGAGCGCTCTGCCTGGTTGCAGTGCCACAGAGTCACCCACACTTGACTTGCTCTGGTTAGCGACCCTCAAGAGCATGTTTTCCTTTGGGTGACCTCCTGTGTGCCCCTGAGGGGCCCCATATGTCTGTCATTGCCCTCAGCCATGCACAAACACTTGCTGGGTCGAGAGCCAGCTCTGGCATCCCTCTTGCCCTGCCCTTGCTGGCGGCCACTAGCACAACAGACTCTGGCCAGGCCTGTCCTCCAGCAGCATGGGGAGCAGAGCCTGGTCCAGCTTCCCTGCCCCAGCCACTTTGCCAGGGTCCCTGGCAGACCCAGCTCCTTCTCCTTGCCACAGCAGTCCAGTGAGGGGCTGAGTTGACAGGGGCACACATTTAACCCATGAGTGGCAACTAGCATGGGGGTACTGTCCTGCCTGCTGCTCCAGAGCCAGATAAGCCCTCAGTTTCCTGGGGTGAGTGGCCTTGGAGATGCAAGGGTGGTGGGTGGCAGCCAGGTGAGGGCTGGCAGTGAAGCCCAGCAGTTTCTGAGGCAGCATACAGACTCCCTAGTCTACACAGTCCCAACGCTGTGCTGCAAAACCTCTGTCGGCAGAAGTGCTGGGGAGTAGGCTGTGAGCTGGAGATGTACCTCGTGCAACCCCATACATTAAGTTCAGGCCTGCTCTGCTACCCCGGCATCCCTCCTCTGCTGCCCCTGGCACCCTTGGTCCCCTATCCCTGGCAACCCGCCTCTGCTAGTACTAGCATCCCTGTATCATTACTCCCAGCATCCCTGCTTCCCCTGGCGGGACACCCCGACTGAGCCTGGGCGTCCTGGAGGATTTTCCTCCTGCATTTCCCAACTGCACAGTGCCCTGAGCTATGATGGGGTCCGTGCCTCTGTTCAGCGCCAGAGTAGGACAAGGGCTCCTGCCTCCTGCGGGAGGGCCAGCCGCCCGGGAGGAAGGGAGAGTCCTGGGCAGGGTCCCCAGCAGAGCCCCCGGCAGAGCCCGGTCAGCACTGCGGCGGGGAGGGCAGAGCGCTGCGCCTCCTGGCACGGCCCTGGCCCACTCCTGAGCCGCTAAATATAGACAGCCCCGGCCCCGGGCGAGGGCAGCGGCGACTGCCCGCTTCGGAGAGCGGCCCCGGCCCGCTCTGCCGCTGCCATACCCCCGCGGGACGGGACTGGGGGGACGAGACCCCCACAACCGCGCCCCGCCACCAGCCCCGACGGGGCGTTCTCTGCCGTGGGGGGAGCCCTGCCGAGCGCCCAGCTCCGGCCCCCGGAGCCTGGCTGGCGCCTCCACCCCCAGCAGCTGTCCCCGTCCGTCCCCCGCCACCGCTCCCCACCGGAGAGGTCACCCCCCTCCATCCCCAGGGCCCTCCCCGCTGCGGCAGCGGGGTGAGGGCAGGCACCCCGGCATCGGCGGCGGGGGGAGCGGGCGAGGGGGCACGGCTGCCCCCGGGCAGGGGCCGGTAGAGCTGCCCAAGGTCACGGCGGGGAAGGAGGGGGCGCGTCGCGGCCGCTCCGCCGGGCAAGGTGCCGCGGGGGGGCTGCAGGGGCATCGCCGGGGGGCTGCCGGGCGCCCTCCCCGCCGCCTTGCCCGCCGCCGGCCCACACTCACCATGTTGCGGCGGGGGGTGCGGGCTGTCCCGGTTGCTCGGTGCTGCGGGGCTCGGCGCTGAGCTGCGGCTGCTGCAATCCGCGCCGCAGCGCTCTCTTATAGGGGGGAGGGGCTTGCTACTGCCACGCCCCCTTATTTTGGGTACGCTTGCATGTGAGGGGGGAGTACCCACTTGGGGGTCCGTGGGAACCTGGCGGGGTCTTTCCAGCTGCGGAGGAACTCCGAGGTGCGGGGGCCTGGGCTGCTCCCCCTTCTCTGCCGGGAGGGAAGCGGAGACACCTGGCCAGGCTGCGGGCAGAAGACTTGGGCACCAACCCCCAGGGGTGACCGGCGGTGCTCAACCACCAGCACCGGAATCCGAGCAGGTAGAGCAGCCCCTAACCTGCTCTGTCACCAGCTTCCCCCTGGGACATAGGGACACCCCGAGACCGCTTGGGCCTCTAGAACAGGAGAAATAAGGAGAAACATGATACAGACACACATCAGACTCTGGAGCTCAGGGTACCCCCAAACCTCCCTTTGCCATCAATACTCTGGAAGCCTCCAGCCAAGGTTTGCCTTTCTCTCCCAGTAGGGACAAATAGTCAGTTCTGCACAACCCTGTGAGGCTGCAGATCTGCATGACAAATCTGGGCTGCCAAAAAAGGGTCATTGCAGACCGCTTGCTGTTAATAACTTGTGACTACATTCAGAGCAGCAGCTCTGTTTGAGCCCTGGCCAGGGCCAGGGATGATCCTGCTGCTGAGGATGCCTGGACCACCAGCCTTGCATGCTGTCTGCCAGGGCCTGGGCTCACACAGCTACCCCTCCCTGGACATGGGGATGGCTGGGGCTCTGCTGCTCAGCAGCATGCCAGGAGTAGCACACCAGGGACACTGCTGTGTCCCTCAGGGTCCAGATCAGAGGTGCAGGATAACTTTTAGAAAATAGAAGTAGGATGCAATTCCAACTCCTTCATCCTTTTGGTTCCAGAATCAGATCTCTGTGAATACCCAGGGAGGTATCTGTGGTGGAATTACTCCTGGAGGAGCAGGTTCCTTCCTTTCCCCACACTCAGACCTCAGTAAAGAGTAGATCAGAGCAGCACCTGGTGTGAGGGGCAGCAACTCCTGCCCTGGCACAGCAGCAGGCACCACTCAGTCTGAGCCCAGTGCTCTGGTCACAGATGTGCAGAGCAATGCCAGCAGCCCTGCACAGTGGGATGAGTGCCTGGCTGCGCTCCAGCAGCTGGGGGTGGCTCCCACTCCCCCTCCAGCTGACACGGGTGCATGTCGGGAGGAGAAGGGCAGGGGAGGACAGCCCCCGTGGGTCAATATAGCTGTAGCATTAGTGGTAAGCAGGGAAAATTAATCTCTGGAACCAGCATGCTGGATAATGGGTAACAGAAATCTCCAGTTTGCAGCTGGAGCCAGGAGCTGATGCTGGGACTACTCACCAACAGGCAGGGCACTGAGAGTCAGAATGGGGACAATGCAGAAGATGATCTGGGGCAGGTAGAGTGGGGCCACGTGCCCCAGGAGGATGGCAGAGCACAGGCAGAGCAGGGAGATAGAGGTAATCCCAGACAGAAGACCCCATGCCTGAGCTAGGTGCTTCTCCTATCACATCAACAGCACTCTTCTGGATCCCTTTGATGGACATGCTTGGGCACTGGCCCAGAGCCTGCCATGCATCCTGGCTATATCCCTCTGGTATGGGGCTTTTCCTTATGTGGGAAAGCAGAGCTGGAGCAGAGCACTGGGAGGAAGCATAGCAGCACCAGTACCAGGGCTGAAGCACTCACCACACACCTGACCTGGCAAGAAACCGATACAGC